AATTAAAACTGGAGGTGTATCACAACTCCAGACTTCAAGTTATATTACAAAGCTAGGGTAATCGAAACAGTATAGTACTGGCATAGAAACAGACACATCAAAGGAACAGAACGGAATATAAACCCACAAAAAAAAAAAAAAAGAAAGAAAAGAAACCCACAATTATATGGTCAATTAATCTTTGATAAAGCAGGAAAGAGCATGCAAGGGGGCAAAAAGATCTCTTCACAAATGGTATTGGGAAAAAGGGACGGTTACATGCAATAGAATGAAACTGGACCACATTCTTACAACATACACAAAAGTAAACTTAAAATGGATTAAAGTCCTATATGTGAGAAATAAAACCAGAAAAGTCCTAGAAGGGAGCACAGGCAGTAATTTCACTGACACTGTCTGTAGCAACATTTTTCTAGACTGGTCTCCTGAAACAAGAGAAACAAAAGCAAAATCAAACCACTGGGAAAACATCAAAATAAAAAGCTTCTGGAGAGCAAAGGAAATAATCAACAAAACTAAAAGGCAACCTATTGAATGAGAGAAGATATCTGCAAATGACATATCTGATAGAGGATTAGTATCCAAAATATATAAAGAACTGCTACAACTCAATGCTCAAAAAACAATCCAATTAAAAAATGAGAAGACAGGAACAAGTATTTTTCCAAAGACAACATACAGATGGATGGCCAACACCAGAAGATGCTCAAGATCACTCATCACCAGGGAAATGCAAATCAAAAACCACAATGAGCTATCACCTCACATTTGTCACAATGGCTACAATAAAAAACACAGAAACAAGTGTTAGTGAGGACATGGAGAAAAAAGAAATCCACGTACACTGCTGGTGAGCATGCAAACTGATGCAACCATTGTGGAGAACTGGAAGTTCTTCAAAGTTAAAAACAGAAGTACCCCATGATCTAGTAATCACACATTGGGTATTTAACCAAAAAAATACAAAAACACTAATTTAAAGAGATACATACACCCCTATGTTTAATGCAGTTACTTACAAGAGTCAAATCATGAAAGCAATCCAAGTATCCATCAACAGATGAATGGATAAAGAAGATATGGTGTACATACATACAATGGAATGTCACTCAACCATGAAAAATAATTAAATCTTGCCATTTGCAATGAAATGGAGCTAGAGAATATAATGCCAAGTGAAATAAGTCAGTCAGAGAAAGACAAAATAATGTATAGCACTGCTGAATTACTATACAGTATACCTGAAACTAGTTTTACACTCTATAGTAACTATAGAATTAAGATTAAAACAACTTAAAAAAATGAGAAAGCAAATAATTCTGCAAGATCTCTATTATTAATTATTATTATTATTATTATTATTATTATTATTATTTAAGATTTTAGGGCAGCCCCGGTGGCGCAGCGGTTTGGCACCACCTGCAGCCCGGGGCGTGATCCTAGAGACCCGGGATTGAGTCTCACATCGGGCTCCCTGCATGGAGCCTGCTTCTCCCTCTGCCTGTATCTCTGCCCCTCTCTCTGTCGCTCATGAATAAATGAATAAAATCTTAAAAAAAAAAAGAAAGATTTTATTCATTTATTCATGAGAGACACAGAGAGAAAGAGGCAGAGGCACAGGCAGAGGAAGAAGCAGGCTCCATGCAGGGAGCTCAACGTGGGACTCGATCCTGGGTCTTCTAGGATCACACCCTGGGCCGAAGGTGGCACCAAACCGCTGAGCCACCCGGGCTGCCCTCCATTATTTTTTTCCATATTCAGAAATTGACTCAAAATAGAAAAAAAAAAAAAAAAAACTAAATATAAGAGCAAAATACAGAAAATTCAGGGACAAATCTTCCTACCTATGGGGATTAGGCTATGGATTAGGCAGTGGTTTCTGAGATCTGACAACAAAAGTACAAGCAAAAAAAAAAAGGATAATTCAACTTCATCAAAATTTTAAAAATTGAGGGTGAGAGTGCCCGGAAAGGTCAATCAGTTGAGTGTCTGACTCTTGGTTTCAGCTCAGATCATGATCTCAGGGTCATGTGATAAATCCCTGTGTCAGGCTCCATGCTGGGCATGGAGCCTTCTTAAGATTCTCTCATTCTCCCTCCCTCCCTTTCAAAAAAAAGAAAAAGAAATCTGTTGGTTCATATACTGTATTTTTGAGTAGCAAGGGTTCAGAGCCATGGTTCCCACTGCTAGGGCACAATAACAAATTCACAGGGTACTATGGGATAGTTTTAATTTTCTAAGTTGATGAAATATGCAGAAACACTCCACTTTGTCAGATATCACTGTGAACAGCTAGTTCAACATAGCTCAGAGTTTCAACATTAGACAGTGCTACATTCCCTTCACTGACACTGTATCTTTGAGAAGCAGCTAGAATTTTGGCAGCTGCTGAAATATAAAGCATGTGCTTCGTGAAAATCAATGTGAATCAGGAAATGAAGGTAGTTTGTCCAAATTCCCAAAGTTTGAGAAGCTGTACATTGGTCAATAACTACATATATCCCATTAGAAACTGCTTATTAATTTAAGAATGAAAAGTAAGAATTTGTTAGAAAATTGCTAAGTATTTCTTTGGCTTATAGAGTATCATAAAAAAAAAATTTACTTAGTAGTAGAAGCCCAAAATGCCATGAACTGGAAGTTTGGGAACCTCTGGTTTAGTCTATTTGATAGACTGGTAAGTGGTAAGGATCAGAGCTCCTATAGGCAAACCAATGAGGTTCATATCCTCATCTGACTGTACCCTTACCAACTGTGTGTGATGAAACAAGCCAGTTAATCTTTGTTTCCTCCATTATAAAAGAAAGGATTGTAAGAGTTCCTACCTCACAGGACTGCTCTGAAGAACAAATGAGTTAATATGTTTAAAGAGCCATGCACTAGCTGGCTAGAGAAATGTTTGGTGCATGAGCATAATAATTAGGATGCTATTGCTATTACAATTATTAGGAAAAAAGGAGTCACAAAAAGCTTTTGATCTGATTGCTGACCAATATCTGGTGCAAAAGGGAGGAGATCTGGCAAATATATGACTGGAGTAGGTTGGAGAACAGGCAGCCTCAACCCTGACTCTGAGGTCCTATGGCTGTTAATTACTCCCAGGGCAGGGACCAGAGAAAATGAACAAGTCAAACTCAAATCTGCTTTCTACATTCTAAAAATTACTCATTAAAATACTTCACTTGCAAGTGATTTTTGTTGCAATGACAAGGATTTTTTTTTAAAGACTAAATGTACATAAAAATTAGTTTCTGTCCAAAGTGAAAAAAATCTTCTGATTGCAAAATACAATTATCCAAGGTGTGCCTATTAAGAATCCTTCCATCTCATTACCAAATCTAAGCATGTCAGCAAATGAGCACAAGACTCTAACACTGCTTCTCATGGGTTTGCAGGAGGGCAAAGCACACAGATCAGAAAGAACATTCTGCTAATTAAACTGAAGCAGATGACTACAGAAGAGAAGGGCTTGTCACATGTAACATCTGTGCCAAGAATGATCAGATTAAATATGCAAAATCTGAAGTAAAGGTGTGAAAAAGCAGTAAGATTATACTCTAGACCTTAAATAGGCTACAAAAGTTCTGACAGTTTCCCTAATTATTCCCAGTAATGGACATAGGAGGCCAAAAGGCAGGAGGGAGAAATACATTTTTCTCCATTATGGGTGTTGAGCACTAGGGCTAAAATCATGCCTGTCTGAACACTGATCAGTTTCTGCAAAGGTTAATAGCAATTAAATGCAGCAAACTAGATTAAATGAGAAACAGGTCATGCTACTGCTGTACTTGCAAAGAGCACGATAAAGCATTTCTTTTAAATTCATCTTAATGCACAGGAAATCCAAAAGAAAAAAGTGCTATGAGGAAAAGAATTTATTATATGGTAAATAAATCTTAAATGAAATAAAAATAAAAATGACATGCTACACAAAGGAACTCAAATTATCTGTATTGGGTTGCTGAAAGATTATTAAATACTAATGATGCCTTCTCGGGGGGGGGGGACTGATAATACACCTCTTTTCTAGCTAAAGATAATACAGTCTACCTTAAATTTAAAGTGAGGTATCAATGCTAAAATGAAAAGATGCATATTGAAGAAGCATTACATGTCTTTAATACTGCTTCTTCCAACCTAGTACATCTACAAAAGAATATAGTAAATTACTTAGTAATAATCTGTGACTATAGCCAATAATAATGTATCATATACTCAAAAGTTGCTGAGACTAAATCTTAAAAGTTCTCATTACAATAGAAAAAACTTGTAACTATGTGTGATAATAGATGTTAACTAGACTTGTAGCGATCATTTCATGGTACAAAGTCAATCATTATGTTGTACATCTCAACTAATGTTATTTATCAATTATATCTCAAAAAGGATTCTTTTTAAAGATTTTATTTATTTATTCATAGATACAGAGAAAGAGAGGCAGAGACACAGGCAGAGGGAGAAGCAGGCTCCATGCAGGGAGCCGGATGTGGGACTCGATCCCGGGTCTCCAGGATCACACCCCAGGCTGCAGGTGGCGCCAAACCACTGCGCCACCAGGGCTGCCCTCAAAAAGGAAATTTTTTAGGGACTCCGGAGTGGCTCAGTGGTTGAGCGTCTGCCTTTGGTTCAGGGCGTGATCCTGGAGTCCCGGAATCAAGTTCTGCATCAGGCTCCCCGCATGGAGCCTGCTTCTCCCTCTGCCTGTGTCTCTCATAAATAAATAAATAAAATCTTTAAAAATATTTTTTGAAGATTAAACTGATAATTATTATATTGAGGTCATTCTCTGAACTTATTCTTTTACTTTAGTATAAACCCTAAAGTGTAAGTCTCAAGCATATTAATGGTTGGTTTTTCAAATTTAAATACAAGCAGGTTTTTCCAAGAATTAAGCAATCACATGTATACACAAGCACACACACTCTCTTTTCCATAAATATATTTCTCTACATGAAACAAAAATAAAAGGAACAGGTTCAGAAAATAGAAATGCAATTTACTTTGCTATCTTCGGGGTCTTCTAAACCATCAGGCCGACTAAGGTTTCTAGCAGGCTGGCTGCAGACTACATTATCTTCCAGTCCCCAGGAAGGTACTCTCACAGGTGGCCTTTGGATTTCATCTGGGTAAAAAGCACCATCTGCTCCATCTGAAATAAAAACTTTGGACGTGAAACCCAGTACTATAATTAGAATCTCTGGGTATAGCTATGATAAACAGGATATAAAGAACCATTTTTGTGCATCACAAAAATGATCTTTTTAACCCAACTCATTTTTAGAAATAATAAGCAAATCAACTACTCATTTGTGCTGAAGCACTCCTAGATGAACCTAGTTACTGTTAAACACTAAAACTACTGGTTATAAGATGTTTCTATTAGAGTTAATTGTACTAGTAGTTCTCTAATCCCTTGAAGATACAAACCAAAAAACTCCATATTCAGTTAACCTCAAGTCAAAAATATTTTAATAACCTCTGGTTTCCTGTGTTGCATAAGGATTACCATACTGCAGAACTGGCTGTATATGTGGCACTGTAGCAACATGACCATTTTGCTCTGAGCATGTGTTGAGACACTGTGAGATCTTTTGAGGACTCTGGGAATTCTGACCTTCCATTTTCCTTTCTGCTTGATCTTCTAGATTCCTTTTAAGTTCCTAAAATTAACAAAAACAAAGGTAGAGAGCATTCAAATATTTTATAATAAGAGCAGCATTAAATGTTTAGCTAAAATATAAAAAATTACTTCTCTATTATGTTTGAAGAATACAACTGAAAAGGCTGGCTCTCAACCCATTAAATATCCCTTCCACATATAACAACATTGGAAGGTAGAATAAGGCCCAATGTATTTTCAAATTTATCTATGCCAAGAAGCTGCCCTTTTTATTGAGCTAGGAGGAAACTGAATCTTCTTGCAACTTAGCTATTCATAAAAGACAAAAGACAAAAAGCAATCCATACTGATTCTCCAGTAAATTCTATCAAACATTTAAGAAACTTTTTTTAAAAAAAATATTTTACTTATTCATTTGAGAGAGCACATGCATAAGCACAAGCAGGGGGAGCACCAGAGGGAGAGGGAGAAGCAGGCTCCCCACCATGCAGAGTGTCCAATGTGGAGCTCAATCCCAGGACCCTGGGGTCATGACCTGAGCTGAAGGCAGAGGCTTAACCAACTGAGCCATCCAGGCACCCAAGACACTTATTTAAAAATACTAATCCCACATAAAGTCTTTCAAAAACTAGAGGAAAAAAGCACCTCTGAACTTACTTTATAAAACCAATGCTATCCTAATACCAAAGTCAAACAATGACATCACAGGAAAACTGCAGGCCTGATCCCTCATGAATATTGACGCAAAAATCTTTAAGAAATCAAATCCACCAATACTTAAAAAGAATATAATATAACCAAGTGGTTTTACCATAAGCAAGCATATTTAGTTTAACATCCAAAAATCAATATAATTCACTATGTTCACAGATTAATGGAAAAAACAGTATGATCATTTCAAAAGATGCAGAAGAAATATTTTACAAAATTCACAGGCATTCATATACGTTTTTTAAATCTCAGCTACCTAGAAATAAAAAAGAACATCCTTAATGTGAAAAAAGACACTTCAAAACCCTACAGTGAATGTTAATGGTGGAAAAACTAAATGATTCTACCTAAGAGCAATAATAAGCCAAGAATGTCTGCTTTCCCCACTTCTATTCAACATCATACTGGAGATTCTAAACAGTGAATTAAGGCAAGATTAAGGCAGATTAAAAAGGAAGACATAAAATCATCTTTATACAGAGGATCTGATCATATATGTAGAAAATCCTAAGGAATCTACAGAACTAGGAGAATGAGTAGATTTAGCAAAGTGGCAATACACAAGATCAATATATAAAATCGATTTTCTATATATAAGCAACACACAATTGAAAAATGAAAATTTTGAACACACCATTTATAGTAGAATCAATATTAAAATACTTAGGAATAAATTTCATAAAAGATGTTCAAGGTCTGTACACTAAAAACAAGCATCCTGAGAAAAATTAAAGAGAACTTCAACAAGTAGAAAAATATACCACATTCATGGGTTAGAAAACTTAGCATTTTTATAAATTCCTCCCAAATTAATCTATACATTCAATACAACCCAATAAAAATCCCAGCAGGCTTTTGTATAAATTGACAAGCTGAAACAATGACTGAAATACAAATGTCCTGTAATAGCCCATTTTTAAAAACAAAGTTGGAAGACTTACACCTGATTTCAAGGCCTCTATTAAAGCTATAATATCGAGAGAAGAGAATGTAAATAGATCATAAATGGATGAACACACAGATTAGGAGCTGACAATTTTTTTCCTTTATAGGGTCTGATAGTAGATACTTTCAGCTTTTTAAGACAGTCTGTCACAACTACTCAAATCTGCCTCTGTTGTTTTAGCCACAGGTAATGCCTAAATGAATGGGCATGGTCATATGCTAATAAAACTTTATTTACAAAATAGATCATGAGTCATATTTGGCTTGTAGATGTTAGCCGGCAGACCCCTGATATAAATCTATAAAACAGGGATGCCTGGATGGTTCAGTGGTTGAGTGCCTGCCTTCAGCTCAGGGCATGATCCCAGGGTCCCGGGATCAAGTCCCAACATTGGGCTCCCTATATGGAGTCTGCTTCTCCCTCTGCCTATGTCTCTGCCTGTCTCTCATTGTGTCTCTCATGAATAAATAAATAAATAAAACCTTTAAAAATAAAAAATAAAAATAAATCTATAAAACAAAAGACAGAGTCCAAAAATATATCCATACTCAATTTTCAACAAAGATGTAGAAGTAATTCAGTGAAGGAAAAGGATAGTCTTTTAAACATTAACTTAAAAAACTGGGTATCTAGGGGCACCTGGGTGACTCAGTCAGTTAAGTGTCTATCTTCAGCTCAGGTCATGATCCCAGGGTCCTGGGACAGGGCCCCTCATGGGGGCTTCCTGTTCAGCGGGAGTTTGCTTCTCCCTCTCCCCGTGCCCCTGCCCTGCTCATGCTCTCTCTCAAATAAATCTTTAAAGAAAAACAAAACAAATAAAAAAAAAAAAACAAAACAAAACACTGGCTATCTATACATTTTGACTATATATCATACCATACAAAAAAAAATTATTTTAGTATTTTAAAGTTCACAAGGCTTGAACTCAACAACCCTGATATCAAGACTTGAGCTGAGATCAAGAGTTGAATGCTTAACAGACTGAGCCACCCAGGTGCCCCCCCCCACCAAAAAAATTTTAAGTAGATCATAAATCTAAACATAAGAGCTAAAGCTATAAATCTAGTGAAAGAAAAAATAGGGGAAAATCTTTATAGTCTTGGATTAGTCAAAAATCTGTTAAGACAGGACACAAACAGCATGAACCATTAAGAAAAATATTGCTAAATTAGACTTTTCAATATTAGAAGCTTCTGCTCTTCAAAGATTTTTAAAAATGAAAAGGCACTGGAAAACAGTATGGAGGTTCCTCCAAAAGTTATAAACAGAGCTACACTATGACCCAGCAATTGCACTACTAAGTATTTACCCAAAGGATATAAATGTAGTGATCTGAAGGGGAACCTGCACCCCAATGCTTATAGCAGCATTGTCCACAATAGTCAACTATGGAAAGAGCCCAGATGTCCATCAACAGATGAGTGGATAAAAAAGATGTGGTGTGTATACACACATACACACTGGAATATTATTACTTGGCCATCAAAAAACAAAAAATCTTACCATTTCCAATGATGTGGAGGGAATTAGAGGGTATCATGCTAAGAGAAGTCAATCAGAAAGATAATTACATGATTTCATTCATATACAGAATTTAAGAAACAAAACAGCATCATAGAGGAAGGTAGGGAAAAATAAGACGAAATCAGAGAGGGAGACAAACCACAAGAGATTCCTAACTTTAGGAAACCAGCTGAGGGTTGTTGGAGGGGAGGGGCTTGAGGAGTGGGGGAGATGGGGAGGTAGAGTAAATGGATGATGGGCATTAAGGAGGGCACGTGATGTTACGAGCACTGGGTGTTACACTCAAGTGATGAGCCACTGAACTTTACTTCTGAAACTAATAATACATTCTATGTTAATTAACTGAATTTAAATAAAATTTAATCATAAATAAATAAAAATGAAAAGGCAAGCTACATATTGGAAGAAAATATTTCCAAGACATATGAAAAAGGAATTATATTGGGAACCCCGGGTGGCGCAGTGGTTTAGCGCCTGCCTTTGGCCCAGGGCGCGATCCTGGAGACCCGGGATCGAATCCCATGTCGGGCTCCTGGTGCATGGAGCCTGCTTCTCCCTCTGCCTATGTCTCTGCCTCTCTCTCTCTCTCTCTCTCTCTCTCTCTGTGACTATCATAAATAAAAAAAATTTTTTTTAAAAAAAGAAAAAGGAATTATATTTAGAATATATAAAGAACTCCTAAAACCAAATACAACCAACAAAGATAATCCAATTAAAAATAAGTAAAAATCTCAACACTTCACAAAAGAATATATATGAATGGGGGTACCTGACTGGCTCAGTTGGTAGAACATAAAACTCCCTCTCAGAGTCATGAGTTTAAGCCCTACATTGGACTACTTAAAAATATATATGTGAATGGCCTATAAGCACATGAAAAGATGCCCAGCACCATTAGTCATCAGGGAAATTAAAACTTCAACACTGCACACCCACCAGCATGACTAAAATTAAAACTCAATAATACCAAGTATTAATGAGGCTATAGAGCAACTGGAATGCTCATACACTGCTAGTGGGAATGCAAAATGCTACAGCTACTTTGAAAAACAATGTAGCTGCTTGTTAAAAACATACTCATCATGTAAGAAAGCAATTCTATTTCTAGGCATCTACTTGAGAAAAATGAAAACACAGGTCTACAAACAGACATGAGAATGTTCAAAGCATAAACACTAGAAATAATCCACATGTCCATCAGCTGGTTAAAGGATTAATGTCCAACTAGTGAATGGGTAAATTCTGCCTGACTGCATTTATATGAAATGCTTAGAAAAGGTCAAACTATATAGTAGCAGAAGGTAGATCAGTGATTGTCTGGGACTGAGGACAGCTGAAGGAGTTGACTAAAAAGCATGAAGAAATTTTGTACAGTACTAGAAACATTCTATAGTCTGAACATAATGGTATTTACAGAACTATAGAGTCACCATAATCCATCAAATTGCACTTAAAATAGGTGGGTTTTATTACATGTAAACTGTACCTCAAAAAAGCTGTTTAAAAAAAAAAACAAATTTTAACAAAGGATGAGAAAATGGAAAATTTCATCTGTAAAACTCAGCTGGTTTTGCTGAATGTCATCCCAAGAGAACAGAGATGAGATTCTAGGTCAGCAAATTTTTACCTATATAAACTACCATCAAATGAAGTAACCTTAAAACAGAATAAGTCATTATCACTAAAAGCAAAACTGATAAACATGAAAAATTCAAATCAATTTAGGTTTGAGAAGAGATACAGCAATTAGAAGTTCCTCCTAAGCATGTGAAAAGAGTACAGAAGATATGTGAACAACATTATTGCAGGATTGGTTAAATGAATGATATGGCTAGAGCATAGGCTGCATGTGAAGAACA